ATTAGACAGTATAGTCTTTTAAATATAAAATGCTTGAATAATTAAGTTCAAGAAACTTGAAGAAGGAATATCTTCAAAGAACTGCCAACATTTCACATGTTGTGTTTTATTCTCCTGTAACATAACGGTTGTAAATGTAGTTTCAAATCGAGTTGCAAATCTATTTATTTTTACCCCTTCAGGACCCTTTCGAGGTGTACAAACTACCCTCTTTCCAAAGAGACGGAAATGACCCTTAAGGTTAAGAAAAGGTCAAATCTACTCTTTTGAATTTACAGTGTAGGCCAGTTCCAATTACAATTCACTATGACATGAATTGCGTGTATGAATTTACTTTAATTGTCATATGTGAAATGTATAATTTCATAATATGTGAAATATATGACTTGATTTTCATATATGAAAATTCACATATGAAATTACCAAAATTCACATATGAAATGGATTTCATACATGAAATTTCTTTTTTCATATGTAAATTGTATAACTTCATATATGACTTGATTTTCACGTTTGAAAATTCTTATACGAAATTAGCTACCAAATTTCACATGTGTAATGGATTTCATATATGAAATTTAGTTTTTCATATGTGAATTGTATAACTTCATATGCATGGGACTTGATTTTCATATATGAAAATTCTTATATGAAATAACCAACTTTCACATGTGAAATGGATTTCATATATGAAATTTAGTTTTCCATATGTGAATTGTATAACTTCATATATGACTTGATTTTCATATATGAAAATTCTTATATGAAATGACCAAATTGCAGTGTGAAATGGATTTCATATATGAAATTTAGTTTTGCATATGTGAATTGTATAACTTCATGTATGACTTGATTTTCATATATGAAAATTCTTATATGAAATTACCAACTTTCACATGTGAAATGGATTTCATATATGAAATTTCTTTTTTCATATATGAATTGTATAACTTCATATATAACTTGATTTTCATATATGAAGGATTCTTATATGAAATTACCAAATTTACATGTGAAATGGATTTCATATATGAAATTTAGTTTTCCATATGTGAATTGTATAACTTCATATATGACTTGATTTTCATATATGAAAATTCTTATATGAAATGACCAAATTGCAGTGTGAAATGGATTTCATATATGAAATTTAGTTTTGCATATGTGAATTGTATAACTTCATGTATGACTTGATTTTCATATATGAAAATTCTTATATGAAATTACCAACTTTCACATGTGAAATGGATTTCATATATGAAATTTCTTTTTTCATATATGAATTGTATAACTTCATATATAACTTGATTTTCATATATGAAGGATTCTTATATGAAATTACCAAATTTACATGTGAAATGGATTTCATATATAAAATTTATTTTTTCACATGTGAATTGTATAACTTCATATATGACTTGATTTTCATATATGAAAATTCTTATATGAAATGACCAAATTTCAGTGTGAAATGGATTTCATATATGAAATTTAGTTTTTCATATGTGAATTGTATAACTTCATATAGGCCTACGACTTGATTTTTATATATGGAAATTCTTATATGAAATTACAAAATTTCACATGTAAAATGGAAATTTCAAATATGAAATTTAGTTTTTCATATATGATATTAAAATTTCATATATGACCTGCTTTTCATATATGGAAATTTAATATGTGAAAAAGAGAATTTCACATATGAAACTGAAATTTCGTATATGAAATTACCTTTTCACATGTGAAATTCTAATTTCATATATGAAAATCTTTATGAAAATCAATCTATATGAAAATCTATCTATCTATCTATCTATTTATCTATCTCATCTTATCTTATCAAAACTCTTAAAAGGACTTGGCTGGATGAATATTCAGGAAATGAGGTATAAACAAAAGGCTATGATGATGTATAGAATAGTAAATGGTAATGCACCATATTATTTAATAGACATATTTCAACATTGTCATGCTTTGGATATATATAATCTCAGAAGGTCTAAAATAACCTTCGAACTTCCAAAAAATCGGACACTGTATTACAATTCAAGTTTTGCCTTCACTGGTGCTAAATTATGGAATTCTCTTCCGGATGAGATAAAAGACGCACCATCACTTAAAATATTTGTAAAAATGTTAGACTCGACTATATTCTGTGCCAACTAGAATATGTTTTCTGTATATAGTTTTATATTGAAATATTAAGATACACGGCTTTTAGGAAGAACAAATGTAAATATGTCATATCTACAATTGATAAAACCACCGTGGTTAAATAAAAATTTCAATCAATCAAATCAATCAATCTATCTATCTATCTATCTATCTATCTATCTATCTATCTATCTATCTATCTATCTATCTATCTATCTATCTATCTATCTATCTATCTATCTATCTATCTATCTATCTATCTATGTATCTATCTATCTATCTATCAATCAATCTATCTATCTATCTATCTATCTGTTGTAAGTTCCCAGCGCAGTGCCGCCAGTTTTCCGCACAGCAGTTGCTTCTGCTACTTAATGTACAAATATGTATATACTATTGCTTAAAATACGTCATAGTGATTCATTGTAATTTAATACCAACATTGATTGAGGCAAATATGTAAATTCAGTTGTGATCAGATCGTAGCGAGACGAGGAAGTCTAAAATCGCGTTGTAAATAGATAATCTTTCCAATGAAATAAATCGATAGAATACAGTCCCTTGAATGTTATTGTGTGTGAACCAGTGTGCGCGGAGATCAAAGTGAAGCTTCTGCAAAACAGTGGTCCGATCGAACCGGATTTGTGAATTGTGTACGAGGCTGCGAACAAAGAACGTTTGATATTTGCGCTGCCGTCGATAGTGGAAAGATTTGCGTAAAGTTTGAAAACGGAGAGTATGGACGATCTGACGAAGAAAAAGCGAGTTAGAGGAGGCCACAGATCATCGGCAAGTAAGCTAAGATAATGGAAGCGATACCGAAAGCAAGCCCAGAGAGCCCAGAGAAGGACTTAGTATGGCTGAGACAAAGCCAGATCACATTACAAGACAAAATCAAAATGTTGAATGAGCTCGATGAACAAGTCATTGATATACTCAGCGCATCGAAGGACGAAGACGTCGACGAACAACTTGGCAAAGAGATCGAGGATTCAGGCCAAGCGATCGCAGAATTGGAAAGAACGTTGCTTCAACTCGATGACGCGCTAGGAAAACTCGAAGGACAAAGCCTGCCATTGTTGACGCCAACGAATCTCACATCAGCCGAAGGAAACCTTGATCAAAGTCATGTTTCAATATCAAGTGCGGGTAAAATCATAAGAGCGAAGCTTCCGAAACTTAGACTACGGAATTTCGGCGGAACGATTTGTGAATGGGCAGAGTTTTGGAATGGATTTTCCAGCTCGATAGACAACAATGATCAATTGTCGGATGTTGACAAGTTCGCCTATCTGCGCGGATATTTGGAAGGGCCAGCAAAGTCTACCATGGCTGGTCTCTCGTTGACGGGAGCGAATTACAAGTGTGCGGTGGAATTGTTAAAAGAAAAGCGCAGTACAACGCGCGCACGTAAATGAACTGACACAATTGCCGGCGGTTTATAAAGAAAGCGACACACAAAGATTACGGAAGTTGTATGACAGCTGCGAAGCGAACAACCGCGCATTGAAAGCCCTGGGAGTGAACGAAGACTCGTATTCAGCCATTGTTGTTCCGACAATCATGGAAAAGTTGCCAGAACAGTTTCGTTTGACCATCACGCGAGGGCAGAACTTTCTGGAATGGTCGATGGAAGAAATGTTAAACGCTTTTGAGAAGGAACTCGAACATCGTGAAGCGCACAATGCAGTGGGAACGAATTCGGATCGAGAGCAGGAAAGACACGAGCGAAATTCGGGTAATATAAAGAAATATGGCCAACATCATCATGGAACTGCAGCTGCATTGTTAGCAAACGAAAGGAGAGGAAACTATACATTCTGTCTGAAGAACCACAACCATGAAGACTGTGAGGGAGTGAAAGATCCGAGGACACGAAAGAGTTTGGCTCGTAAATACGGTAGATGTTTTCTTTGTTTATTTAAGGGCCATAGAGCCAGTAATTGTACTGTTAAAAATAGGTGTAATGTTTGAAATGGGGCACATCATGTTGCATTGTGTGATGCAAGCCCTAAAGAAGACGATAAACGTGATAAAACAGTCAAACCTGACGAAGAATCTAAACAGGTCCCTGTTAATACTAATGTGCATGTGACTAGTTCCAGTAGTACCTTGCATGCGGGAAATGGTAGCCTGGTTGCCTTGCAAACAGCACGCGGGGTTTTAAGGGGTGAAAGGGTGGCTAAGGTGCGGGTTCTCTTTGATGCGGGAAGTCATCGTTCCTTTGTTACTTCTAAAGCAGCTAGTCTTGTGAATCCCAAGGGCTTAAGAAGGGAATTGTTAGGGATTAATACGTTCGGTCAAAAATGTACCAATGCCGAGCATAGGGAGGTGGTCGAATTAAAGCTTGAACCTGTTAACGGGAATTAGGTTATCTCCTTAGAAGCATTTGTAGTGCCAGAAATCTGTAGAATACAGAATAGCCATGTAGAAATAGCAAGGAGAGAATACCCACATTTGAAAGGTATATGGTTTTCAGATGTCTCGAAGTGTCAGGGTGAGCTAGAGATAGATGTGTTGATAGGGGCAGATTACCTCTGGAATTTTCAGACAGGTGTAACCAAGAGAGGTAAATCAGGAGAGCCAGTTGCCATAGAAACTGAGTTAGGATGGGTTTTATCAGGGCCTTTGAGAGTGCAAGATATAGAGGGAGCAGAGTTAGCCCAAGTAAATTTTGTAGCTCAGACAATGAATAATGAAGATAGTTTGGAGAGTAATGTACAGAAGCTGTGGAGTTTTGAAGGGTTAGGTATCTGTGAGGAAGATAAGGTTCATGAGGAGTTTTTAGATGGGATATCTTTTACAGGTAGTAGATATGCAGTGAAACTACCCTGGAAAGAAAGCCACGACAAATTGCCTGACAATTATGCAAATAGCTTAGGTAGAATGAAGAATCAGTTGCGACGATTGAAGAAGGAGCCAGCATTGTTGACAGAGTATGATTCTATCATCAGAGAACAGGTAGAGCAAGGGATTGTAGAACCAGTAGCAGCATTAGAGAAAGTTGATAAAGTTAATTATTTACCACACCAGGCGGTCATTCGCAAGGATGCAGTGACCACAAAGGTTTGGGTTGTTTATGATGCTTCATCTAAGGAATGTAAGTCAG